GTAGTAAACAATTTGGATTGAATTTTGCTAAATTATAAGCCAATTAATATTAAGTTTAAAAAGTAAATATAACTCACAAAGCATTTTATCGCCACAAATGTCGCAAATTTTATTTCCTTTATAACGTTTTTGAGTTGTCATATTTAATATTAGCAACTAATTTTAATTATGTTAAGTTATTAATACCGTATGAATTAAATTATTTGTTTTTCAATTTTACAATTCTCACAATCATTTATTGTTAGCGTAAAACTTTTTATCACTTAATACAATACATAATAAAATTCATTTGACTTTTAAAAATCCTGTAGTTCTCTAGCTTGAAGGACATGCCTGGTGCAATTATGTGTCTTAAGTATTAGTTTTAAGAAAGTTTGCAACCAATATAATTATCTTTTATTTACATTGAATTGCGATTAGTTTAGAGAACTTTCAATAGTTTTGGTAAAATAGCTAGTACGACCAAATGGTATGGTTCATACATTAATACATTATTACACGTTATTGTAAACTATCAAAAATTTAATAATTAAATTATACACTAAATAATACATGTTAAAATAGAAAATATTATTTAAATATGAATATTAGTAAGTACAATTTTAGTGGCTAAAAATTTACTCAACACAAATAATTAGCGTTAAATATTAATAGATTTACAAACTTAGTAATTTTAAATCATTATCATTTGTAAAATTATTCATTTATCTTAAAATTAGATAGATAATTATTTAAAATAAGGTATAATTGTAAGAATAATGTAGTAAGCAATGATAATTTTATATAGACAAATTTTATTGATTTTTTGAACACAATTAAATGTTATATTACACAAATATGTTCATATTTCAAAACCATATATCTCCCTGGTCAGTGGTCCACAATAAGGGATGCATTCTTTAAAATCTTCAGCCTTTCCGACCATTAATTGCATTTCTTTTAAATTGTTTAAATCAATTAAAGGGTTTAATAGTTTCAATAGTTTTGAATGCGAGTCGTATTCCGATCGACACTTCATTAGTAGATAGCGTTGCAGTAAATAAATATAAAGTTGTTGCTCGAGTCTATTTATAGTTAAATTAAAAATTAAATTATGTGTTCATTTGAGTTATATTTTAATAACTACATTTAAATGTTTTTAATAAAACCTTACTTAATACTTTGTTTATGTATGAGATTCGGGCGGTTAGGGTTGTAAAGTATTATTGTTGTTAACTACAGTAGTTTGAAAATAGATAGATATTTTATATACAGTATCGAGATTAATAAATAACAACATACCAAATTAATAATAATTAAATCGTGTTTGATTTCAGGCAACAATCTGTTCAGAATTAGCTTTAAAGTTTGTAAATAAGGGAAATCTTGAAAATTTAACAATTCCAGATCAAATAAAATTGACTTGTTATCACCCTGATCGGTGTTCACACAACATAAAATATAATAAAGTAATTTATTAGAATAAACAATACTTATCTTAAATTACCACATTATTAATGCAAAAATATTGTACTGTATGCTTACCACATATAATTTAAAACACTGACCCTCATCATTATAATCCAACGCGTTTCTCATTAAACACATTTCAATGCATCCATTCTTAGCGAGAGTCCACTGATCGTCGGCACAGAAACTCTTGAATCCATTGAGACTTTTGGCGAAACTTATTGTATCCTTAATCCAGTCCTCCATTCGGTGTCCAGTTTCGCACATCATTTGCTTAAATGTATAGACTTTTAAGTCATGTTTACTCAACGGGTCGTCCCTAATATTGGATGCACTCAACAGTTCTCTTATACGGATTGACTCCAATTGGTTCCACGAGTGATAATCCCTGATCACTGGGAATACCGGTGCGATCGCCAGGTCTTTAGAGTTTCGAAGTGCTATTTCTGTGACACTACAGGTCTCTGACATTACACTACTTTCTATTGCTAGTATCTGTTCAGTAATCTCCTCATCGCTAATATTAACATTATTTTCAATTAAGTCATTCAAGAATCCGCTTAATTCTTCAGTTTCAGGGGATTGTATGGCAGACCTGATAGATATCGGTGCCGAGTCCATACAATTTAAACTTTTATCGCATTTTTCTCGTCGTTTTGCTTTATTTTCTGCAATCAATTGTCGTCTCATTTTGTTTTCTTCATCACTTCGTATGAATTCCTTTGCAATTTAAATAGTTTTCAAAATTATTATTCAATAAATATATTGTTATTAATTAATTCATTACTGATTTCATTCCGGCGGCAAAACATTTATTTAAACGACACTTTTTACACATAGTTCTGGTCGTCGTATTGATCACACATTTGCCATTTGATGGACAGTCGTATTGCTATTAGAAATTGTAAGTAATGTTATGTAAGTAATAATAGTTTCTATGAATTAATTACTTTATTGAGAAGTACCACTCGTCGGAAAAATGATTTACACGACTCGCAAGCATTTGCTGCAAAGTTTCGGCCTATTATTCAATTTAAAGAATGTATTAAACAAGGTAGATAGCATTTTGCTAAATTATAAGCCAATTAATATTAAGTTTAAAAAGTAAATATAACTCACAAAGCATTTTATCGCCACAAATGTCGCAAATTTTATTTCCTTTATAACGTTTTTGAGTTGTCATATTTAATATTAGCAACTAATTTTAATTATGTTAAGTTATTAATACCGTATGAATTAAATTATTGTTTTTCAATTTTACAATTCTCACAATCATTTATTGTTAGCGTAAAGCTTATTATTACTTAATACGATACATAATAAAATTCATTTGACTTTTTAAAATCCTGTAGGTTGAAGCTTGAAGGACATGCCTGGTGCAATTATGTGGTTTAAATATTAGTTTTAAGGAAGTTTGCTACCAATATAATTATCTTTTATTGACATTGAATTGCGATTAGTTTAGAAAACTTTCAATAGTTTTGGTAAAATAGCTAGTACGACTAAATTGTATGGTTCATACATTAATACATTATTACACGTTATTGTAAACTATCAAAAATTTAATTACTAAAGTATAAACTAAATAATACTGATAAAATACAAAATATTATTTAAATATGAGTATCAGTAAGTACAATTTTAGTGGCTAATAATTTACTCAACACAAATAATTAGCGTTAAATATTAATAGATTTACAAACTCAGTAATTTTAAATCATTATCATTTGAAAATTATTCATTTATCTTAAAATTAGATAGTTAATTATTTAAAATAAGGTATAATGGGTAAGAATAATGTAATAAGCAATGATAATTTTATATAGACAAATTTTATTGATTTTTAAACACAATTAAATGCTATATTACACAAATACGTTTATATTTCTAACCCATAAATCTCCCTGGTCAGTGGTCCACAATAAGGGATGCATTCTTTAAAATCTTCAGCCTTTCCAAAACACAATTGCATTTCTTTTAAATTGTTTAAATCAATTAAAGTGTTTAATAATTTTAATAGTTTTGAATGGCAATCATATTCCGATCGACACTTCATTAGTAAATAGCGTTGCAGTAAATAAATATACAATTGTTGCTCCAGTCTATTTAGTTAAATTAAAAATTAAATTATGTTAAATTTGAGTTATATTTTAATAACTACATTTAAATGTTTTTAATAAAACCTTACTTAATACTTTGTTTATGTATGAGATTCGGGCGGTTAGGGTTGTAAAGTATTATAGCCGTCAACTAGTTTTGTAAACATAAGTAAATTAATTTGTTTGACAACTTTAAAAATTGATAAATACCAAGTTAACAATAAACGAATCATGCTTTATTTCAGGCATCAATTTATCCAAGACCAACTTTAAAGTCTGTATATAAGACATGTTCTGAAGGCTTATATAAACGTCCAAATGATATATAACTGACTTGTGATCACCCTATTGTATGAATATAACATATAACAATTAACACTAAATTAATGACATTCATTAATTTAAATATTCTCACCACATATATTTTAAAACATTGACCTTCGTCATTATAGCACAATGCCTCTCTGAGCATGATCATTTCAATGCATCCACTCTTGAAGAGAGTCCACTGGTCGTCGGCGCAGAACCTCTTGAATCCATTGAGACTTTTAGTGAAACCTATCATATCTTTAATCCAGTCCTCCATTCGGGTTTCAGTCGCACATATTTTTTGCTTAAATGTATGGACTGTTAAGTCATGTTTACTCATCAGAACCTCTTGAATCCATTGAGACTTTTGGTGAAACCTATCATATCTTTAATCCAGTCCTCCATTCGGGTTTCAGTCGCACATATTTTTTGCTTAAATGTATGGACTGTTAAGTCATGTTTACTCAACGGGTCTTCAGTGACATCGGATGCACTCAACAGTTCTCTCACACGGATTGACTCCAATTGGTTCCACGAGTGATAATCGTTGATCACTGGGAATACCGGTGCGATCGCTAGTTCTTGAGAGTCTTGTGGTGCTATTTCTGGGATACTACTTGCCTCTAACATTACATTATTATCTGTTGTCTGTTTGTTAATCTCCTCATCACTAGTATTGACTGTATTTACAAATAAGTCGTTTAAGAATTCATTGATGTCTTCAGTCTGAGGGTAAGGTATGGTTAACTCGGGAGGGGTGTCCACACTATTCACACTTTTATCGTATTTTTCTCGTCGTTTAGCTTTATTTTCAGCAATCAATTGTCGCCTCATTTTGTTTTCATCATCACTTCGTATGAATTCCTTTGCAATTCAAAATGTTTACAACAATTTTATTATGAAATAAAAATATAAATGTATGATTATTAATATTAGAAATACCCGTTTCATTCCGACGGCTAAACATTTATTGAGTCGACACTGTTTACACGTAGTCCTAGTCGTGATACTGATCACACATTTACCATTTGACGGACACTCGTATTGCTATTATAAATTGAAATCATAATTAATTTGATACAATATATAAATCCGTTTTGTTTTATTTAATTACTTTATTGAGACGAACCACTCGTCGGAAAAATGCTTTACACGACTCGCAAGCATTTGCCGCGAAATTACGGCCTTAAATATATATATGGAAAATTGAATATAATAATCATGGTAATTTATATTTCTAATAGAGTTTTTATTTTGAATACAACATTACTTACAAAGTGTGGTATCGCCGCAAATGTCACAAATTTTATTCCCTTTATAACGACTCATATTTATTAATTTGATAAATTAATTACAAGAAGACAGTAAAGTCCAAAATAATTGTTTCGACAATTTTGTATATAAACAATTAGTGTTGTCAATTATTGCTAGGTATTGCGATTATACGATAATATAATACTAAATATACAAAAAGGAATATTTTCAAACTTCAATACTATTGAATGGATAGGGATTCCCATTTGGAGGGCATATTTATTTCAACTATTTTGATAAAGTTTGCAACATGTACAGTATAATTATCTTTATTGACATTGAATTGTGATTAGTCCATAATAATGTCAATATTTTATTAGTAGATGTGGTTAATAATTTACTGCACACTAATAATAATTATTCTTGATAAATACTGTTCAATATACTGTATATATCATAATTTATTATTTTAATAATTGGTTAATTATTAATTTATTTCAATATAATTTATACATTATCTATAAAATAAAAGTATGTGTTTGTGTGTTGTAAATAAATTAGGCACGAGTTTTAGATATTAATAACTTTATTTGTTTTTAATTATGATTAAATTATCGTACACATATATACTATATTTTAATATCATATAGTTCCTTGGTCAATGGTCCAAAATAAGGGATACATTCTTTAAATTCTTCATCCTTTCCAAAACATAAATGAATTTCTTTTAAATTGTTTAAATCAATTAAAGTGTTCAATAGTTTCAATAGTTTTGAATGCGAGTCATATTCCGATCGACATTTCAGTAGTAGATAGCGTTGCAGTAAATAAATATAAAGTTGTTGTTCGAGTCTATTATAAATATACCGGTAATTAAAAATTAATTTTTTCATAAATGAAAATTATTTTACAAAAACATACTTCACTTTTTGTTTATGTTTGAGATTTGGATGATTAGGATTGTAAAGTACTATAGCGGTCAACTATATTAAAATAATATTTAATTACAACATAATTGTGGTGTAAAGATCTAAAATTATTAACATTCCCAATCTAAAATTAAATACCAAATTGAAAATAGTTGAATCATATTTGTAATCTGGTAGGAACTTTTCTAAAAATAACTTATATGGCTGATAATACGGTAAGTGTAGGTATTTGAACATTTCCAAATTGAATGCCATTGATTTTTGGTTGTCCTATTTGCAATCATTTTTTAACAAATTAAAATAATCAATAAATATCATGGGCGTTTAATTCATATGCTTACCACATGCACCCAGAAAGTCTGACCCTCGTCATTATAACTCAGCGATAGTCTCAATATAATCATTTCAATGCATCCATTCTTCATGAGAGTCCACCGATCGTCCGAACAGAAGCTCTTGAATCCATTCAAACGTTTGGTAAAACCGATCATATCTTTAATAATGTTTTCCATACTGTATTCAAACTCGCGAACCATATCTTTAAACGTATGGACTTTGAGTATATTTTCACTCAACGGATAGTCAAGAAGTTTCGAGGCGTTCAACAGTTCTTTTATACGGATTGACTCCAATTGGTTCCACGAGTGATAATTGCTGATCACTGGGAATAGCGGTGCGATCACTAGTTGAGGATCTGGAGCTGCAACTTCAGTGACACTACTGATCTCAGACATTACACTACTCTCAATGTCTTTTATCTGATTAGTAATCTCTTCATCACTAATATTCACTGTATTTTCAATTAAGTCATTCAAGAATCCGTTCAACACTTCACTTCGAGGGGAAGCTGTGGTCAACCCTTTAGATTCCGGTAACAGATCCACAGAATCAACACTTTTTTCATATATCTCTCGTTGTTTAGCCTTATTTTCTTCAATCAATTGTTGTCTCATTTGGTTTTCTTCAGTACTTCGTATTAATTCCTTTGCAAATAATATACATTATAATAAAAATGAATAAAATCTTTTAAACATGAATTAAACATCAGTTTTATAACTAATTACTGNGAATAAATTTTTTTAAACATGAATTAAACATCAGTTTTATAACTAATTACTGGTTTCATTCCGATGGCTAAGCATTTAGTAAATCTACATTGTTTACACATAGTCCTGGTCATTGTATTGATCACACATTTGCCATTTCGGGGACACTCGTATTGCTATTAGAAATTGTAATTGATATTAATTTCATATAATAATAGTTTCTATGATTTGTTACTTTATTGAAACGAACCACTCGTCGGAAAAATGCTTTACACGACTCGCAAGTATTTGCCGCAAAATTGCGGCCTTAAATATATATGAAAAATTGATTATAATCATCTTGGTAATTTTTATTTTTATTTTGAATACATCATTACTTACAGAGTGTGATATCGCCGCAAATGTCACAAATTTTATTCCCTTTATAACGACTCATATTTATTTATTTGGTAAATTAATTATAAGTCATTAATAGACAGTAGAGTCCAAATGAATTGTTTCCACAATTTTGTAAATATACCATTAGTGTTGTCAATTGTTGCTAGGTATTGCAAATATACGATCATATAATATTATTATAAATATACAGCAACAAACATATTTTCAAACTTCAATACACTATTGAATGAAAAGGGATTTCCATTTCTTGGAGGACATATGATAATTATATAATTATATTTATTTCAACTATTTTGATAAAGTTTGCAAAATGTATAATTATCTTTATTGACATTGAATTGTGATTAGTTTATAATAAAGTCAATATTTTTTAGTTGATGTGATTAATAATTTACTTCACACTAATATTTATTGATAAATACCGTACATTATACAATGTACATACACATGTATAATATACATTATAATATAATTTATTATTTTAATAATTGGTTAATTATTAATTTATTTCAATATAATTTATACATTATCTATAAAATAAAAGTATGTGTTTGTGTGTTGTAAATAAATTAGGCACGAGTTTTAGATATTAATAACTTTATTTGTTTTTTATGATGATTAAATTACCGTACACATGTATACTATATTGTAATATCATATAGTTCCCTGGTCAATGGTCCATAATAAGGGATACACTCTTTAAATTCTTCATCTTTTCCAAAACATAAGTGAATTTCTTTTAAATTGTTTAAATCAATTAAAGTGTTCAATAGTTTCAATAGTTTTGAATGCGAGTCATATTCCGATCGACATTTCAGTAGTAGATAGCGTTGGAGTAAATGAATATATAGTTGTTGTTCGAGTCTATTATAAATATACCGGTAATTAAAAATTAATTTTTTAATAAATGAAAATTATTTTATAAAAACATACTTCACATTTCGTTTATGTTTGAGATTTGGATGATTAGGATTGTAAAGTACTATAGCGGTCAACTAAATTAAAATAATATTTAATTACAACATAATTGTGGTGCAAAGATCTAAAATTATTAACATTCCCAATCTAAAATTAAATACCAAATTGAAAATAGTTGAATCATATTTGTAATCTGGTAGGAACTTTTCTAAAAATAACTTATATGGCTGATAATATGGTAAATTCAGGAATTTGAACATCTCCAAATTGAATGCAATTGATTTTTGGTTGTCCTATTTGCAATCATTTTTTAAAAAATTAAAATAATCAATAAATATCATGGGCGTTTAATTCATATGCTTACCACATGCACCCAGAAAGTCTGACCCTCGTCATTATAACTCAGCGATAGTCTCAATATAATCATTTCAATGCATCCATTCTTCATGAGAGTCCACTGATCATCGGAACAGAAACTCTTGAATCCATTCAAACGTTTGGTAAAACCGATCATATCTTTAATAATGATTTCCATACGGTAATCATACTCGCGAATCATATCTTTAAACGTATGGACTTTGAGTACATTTTCACTCAACGGATAGTCAAGAAGTTTCGAGGCGTTCAACAGTTCTGTTATACGGATTGACTCCAATTGGTTCCACGAGTGATAATTGCTGATCACTGGGAATAGCGGTGCGACCACTAGTTGAGGATCTGGAGCTGCAACTTCAATGACACTACTTGTCTCAGACATTACACTACTCTCAATATCTATGATCTGGTTATTGATCTCTTCATCACTAAAATTCAGTGTATTTTCAATTAAGTCATTCAAGAATCCGCTTAACTCTTCACTTCGAGGGAAAGGTGTGGTCAACCTTTCAGATACTGGTAACGGATCCACAGAATCAACACTTTTTTCATATTCCTCCCGTCGTTTAGCCTTATTTTCTTCAATTAATTGTTGTCTCATTTGGTTTTCTTCAGTACTTCGTATTAATTCCTTTGCAAATAATATACATTATAATAAAAATGAATAAAATCTTTTAAACATGAATTAAACATCAGTTTTATAACTAATTACTGGTTTCATTCCGATGGCTAAGCATTTAGTAAATCTACATTGTTTGCATATAGTCCTGGTCATTGTATCGATCACACATTTGCCATTTGACGCACACTCGTATTGCTATTACATATTGTAATTAATATTAATTTCATATAATAATAGTTACAATGATTTCATTACTTTATTGAAACGAACCACTCGTCGGAAAAATGTTTTACACGACTCGCAAGCATTTGCCATAAAATTTCGGCCTAATATTAAGGTTAACAGTCATTATTTTTAAATTTATAGTAAACTAATAATTGAATAATAGGTTTAGTAAAATGAGATTAGTTTACTAATTAAACTTGTAACTTACAAAGTGCTTTATCGCCACAAGCATCACAAATTTTATTTCCTTTATAACGATTCATATTTAATAACGAGTTTCTAAATAAAAATCTATTTAAGTAAAATAATATTTATCAACCAAGTTAATAGCATATATTTGAACTCAAATAACAAAAATGTTAAAATTAGTTTAATATATAATTTAATAATAGAGTATTATATTATCAATTGTGCATAAACAGTCTTGATAAAATTTATGATAACTTAATACAATACTTAAGAAAATTCACTTGACTTTCCGACATGTTTTCCGATCCTGCAGTTTGAAGGACATCCAGGTGTAATTATATATTTATGTCTTTACCATTATTAATATAAGAGGCCTACAAGTTATCATTTTATTTATAGAGCGAGGATTAAGTCCACGGATAGAGAAATAGCCACAATTATAAACTTTTAAGTTCATAAGATTTTAAACAAATACTTGCACTTGCATAAAACAGAAGCATTATGCTCAATTTTATATTTTAATCATTCACTATCAATTAATCTGTTAATTGATAATAATATTTGATGCATAATGATAATATTTTGCATTGAAAAGGCTTGTAGAACATTTCTCTATCCGCATACTTTTCCCTCTACTTGTACATTGAATTGTGATTCATTTTCAAAACTGTCAATAATCTGTTTTAATAGTTTATATACTGTAGTACAGGGCCTGTACTCAATCTCATACTTTATTACTAAAAATTACAATTTGTTTACAAAATATCATTATTTATTTACACATACATACAGTATTTAATTGTTAATTAATAGATCATTCATTCACACGACAATACATGTACACTGTATATAATAGTAGGAAATATTAATTTAAATGTTAATATCATAGACCTCTCTGGCGAGTGGACCTAAACTAACGAATTGGTCGTCGAAACCAATTTTATATTTGCCGTAATTGTACTGAATTTCACCAAATTTTCTCAACTCTACTAAACTAGTCATCGCTTGCGATAGTCTTGTTTGCGATTCCGGTCCGTATTTCACGAATAAATATCTTTGTAATAAATAAATGTACATTTGCTGGTTCAGTCTATCAAATGCAAATATATGATTATTAGAGATTATTGTTCAGTGCGTATTTATTACAAATATTTGTAATTTTTCAGATTTATCTGGATAATTTTATAGCACTTACTTAACTGTATGTCTATGAACTAAGTTGGGTCTCATTGTGTTAAACAACGTGATTGCCAGTAGCTGTAAAATTGTATATAATTACAATAAAATATAAACATATTAATAATTTTAAAATATAATGTAAAAAGTAAATGTTAAATGTTAAATTTACCAAATTAACAATTATATGATCCTGATTCCATTCAGAAAATATTGTATATAGAAACTTTTTAAAATGTTCATAATTGCTAAATCGATCAAATATTTTTTAATCAAACACTAAGGCGGTGTTATTGTCCTACAAAATAAAGTATTTATAAATACAACTTATTAATTTAAATATATACTGGTATATAAATTACTCTATCTGATATAAAGTGAACTGGTCAAAATCTTTATTAATTCAGAAAAATTCAATATAAATTCACTAATAAATAATGACAATAATAAAACATCATTTATTTACATTTAAAAGTTAAAGTTACTAAATAAAAGTTACTAAATTATTCATTTGATAGTTAATTAAATTTAGTTTAGAATTTTAATTATGAATAAAGTAACAAAAATATTAAACGATATCATAAATCTCCCTGGCTAGTGGTCCAAAATAAGGGATACAATCTTTAAATTCTTCAGCCTTTCCATACCATAATTGCATTTCTTTTAAATTGTTTAAATCAATTAAAGTGTTTAATAATTTCAATAGTTTTGAGTGCGAGTCATATTCCGATTGACATTTCAATAGTAGATAGCGTTGCAGTAAATAAATATAAAGTTGTTGCTCGAGTCTATTATAAATATACGAGTAATTAAAAATTAATTTTTTAATAAATAAAAATTATTTTACAAAAACATACTTCACATTTTGTTTATGTTTGAGATTTGGATGATTAGGATTGTAAAGTACTATAGCGGTCAACTATATTAAAGCAATATTTAATTACTACCAGGTATTGTTGTACAATGATCTAAAATTATTAAATACCAAATTGAAAATAGTTGAGTCATATTTGCAATCAGGTAGGAACTTTTCTAAAAATAACTTATATGGCTGATAATATGGTAAATTCAGGAATTTGAACATTTCCAATTTGAATACAATTGATTTTTGGTCGTTCTGTTCATAGATTATTTTATAATAAATTAAAATAAACATTAAATATCATAAATATTTCATTCATATGCTCACCACATGCATCCGAAAATTCTGACCCTCGTCATTATAACCCAGCGATAGTCTCAATGTAAGCATTTCAATGCATCCATTCTTCATGAGAGTCCACTGATCATCGGAACAGAAACTCTTGAATCCATTCAAACGTTTGGTAAAACCGATCATATCTTTAATAATGATTTCCATACGGTATTCATACTCGCGACACATACCTTTAAACGTATGGACTTTGACTACATTTTCACTCAACGGATAGTCAAGAAGTTTTGAGGCGTTCAACAGTTCTGTTATACGGATTGACTCCAATTGGTTCCACGAGTGATAATTGCTGATCACTGGGAATACCGGTGCGATCACTAGTTGAGGATCTGCAGCCGTAACTTCAATGACACTACTGGTCTCAGACATTACACTACTCTCAATATCTATGATCTGGTTATTGATCTCTTCATCACTAATATTCACTGTATTTTCAATTAAGTCATTCAAGAATCCGCTTAACCCTTCACTTCGAGGGAAAGGTGTGGTCAACCCTTCAGATACCGGTAACGGATCCTTACAATCAACACTTTTTTCATATTTCTCCCGTCGTTTAGCCTTATTTTCTTCAATCAATTGTTGCCTCATTTGGTTTTCTTCAGTACTTCGTATCAATCCCTTTTGCAGATAATATACATTATAATAAAAATGAATAAATTTTTTTAAACATGAATTAAACATCAGTTTTATAACTAATTACTGGTTTCATTCCGATGGCTAAGCATTTAGTAAATCTACATTGTTTACACATAGTCCTGGTCATTGTATTGATCACACATTTGCCATTTGACGGACACTCGTATTGCTAATAGAAATTGTAATTAATATTAATTTCATATAATAATAGTTTCTATGATTTCATTACTTTATTGAAACGAACCACTCGTCGGAAAAATGTTTTACACGACTCGCAAACATTTGCCATAAAATTTCGGCCTAATATTAATATTAACAGCAATTATTTTTTAAGTTTATAGTAAACTAATAATTGAATAATAGGGTTATTAAAATGAGATTTAGATTACTAATTAAGTTTGTAACTTACAAAGTGTTTTATCGCCACAAACATCACAAATTTTATTTTCTTTATAACGATTCATATTTAATAACGAGTTTCTAAATAAAAATCTATTTATGTAAAATAATATTTGTCAACCAGGTTAATAGCATATATTTGAACTCAAATTACAAAAATGTTAAAATTCGTTTAAATAAATAATTTAATAATAGAGTAATGTATTATCAATTGTTTATAAACAGTCTTGACAAAAATTATGATAACTTAATACAATACTTAAGAAAATTCACTTCACTTTCCGACATGTTTTCCGATCCTGCAGTTTGAAGGACACCCTGGTGCAATTATATGTTTATGTCTTTACCATTATGAATATAAGAGGCTTACAAGTTATCATTTTATTTACATTGAATTGTGATTAATTTTCAAAACTGTCAATAATCTGTTTTAATAGTTTATATACTGTAGTACAGGGCCTGTACTCAATCTCATACTTTATTACTAAAAATTACAATTTGTTTACAAAATATCATTATTTATTTATACATACAGTATTTTAATTGTTAATTAATTGATCATTCAATGCGCACTAACTTTTAGGACATTTTGCAAAACAATTGAGATCTGAAGAACAGATATGTTTAATATTTTCACGTTGATCATATTTTCATATTATCATCAATTGAATTTAGGCGCATTAACGTATAATACATATTGTACAGTCTACTGTTTGTTTTCATAAAAGTTTATACCAAGTATAAATTTTTCTCAAGACAGTGAACTATTCATAGCCTTAAGAATTATAATTAGCTTCACTAAAATATTATTTCAAAACACTTACTCTATAATCAAGATAAAAAGTTTCAAAAATAAACCAATATCATATTTATTAATAAGATAATCTTACATAAAATAAAAGTAACAAATAAAAATATTCATAATAATTAATGAATACATTAATAATTGACATAAATTCATGCATTCATTTCGTTTCATTCTTATATTCAGTTCACAGAGTATTCGTGGTTTGCAATGAACTATAGACTACTTAATGGTCGGTGCGGTGGACAGCGGAAGGCCCGAACTCGGCGTACTGTTCCCTAGAGATATAATTCCGCAGGAATTCCGGCTGCGATGCCACTATCGACCCGTCAAACCACACGGAATACTGGCGCTCTGGGCGCCTAACCATTCGGCCCACACTAGCGTCGCCCACCAGACCCATCAACTCCCGGCGCAACCTACGCGCGAACCCGCGATAAAGTGTATTACCGCCGGACAGCACATTAGCCAACAGTCCCCTCCGGGCGCCTCTATCACATGCCATGACGGCGTTGTATGCCATCTCGTGGACCCCTCACGACGCCAAACCCATGAGCGAGGGCTGGAACAGGACCTCCGGGCACCGGAACCGCTGGTCGGCGCCCACTGTAAACACCTGCCGGTCCGGTAGCTCGTAGTCCCTGTCCAGCGCGGGGGTCGGGTTGGCCATCGCCCGGTCGTAGTCGAGCTCCACATAACATAACCGCTCTTTGGCCTCCCGGACCACATCCCGTTCCGACTGAGTGTTGAAGTAATGGCCCCTTTCGGTGAGTATCCTCACGAGATAGTCGGTGAGGTCGCGGCCGCCCACCTCCAGGCGCTGTACGGCGTCCCATACGTGATAGCCATCGATGACCGGAACGGCTTGCGAGAGGCCGTCCCCGCAGTCAAGCGCGAGGCCTGTGAGCCGACCGTACGAGTAGAGGGCCAGAGCTCCCTGAATGGCCACATAGAGGGCCGGTATGTTGAAGGTCTCGAACATGATTTCAGCCATTTTTTCGCGATTAGCCTTTGGATTGAGTGCCACGTCTGTCATGAGCACCGGGTGCTGGTTGAGGTCAACACGTGTAGTGCCATATCTTTTGCATGTCGTCCCAATCGGTGATAACTCCGCGTTGGATGGGGTACTGGAGGGCTAGTATGCCGCGTCGTTTCTGAGCGTCTGAGCCCACGTACTCCCTATCGCCTCGCTTTCCAACACACGACGGGAACACTATGGAGGGGTCCTTGTGTTCAGCGACCCCCGCTTTACAACTGCCCGACCCGTTGTCCACCACAACTGCCTTCACATCACTCATGTCTGATGTTTGTTATGATGGATCCAAACAAGTAGTTAACTAAATGATCAAGATAAATCAAGGTACTCTGTAAATATGATGATAGTATATAAATTAAATGATCATGCTTGAACAAACTATAATGAAAACTAGTTAATAAGCTTTACGTTAATTGTTCGTATTTAATAAAATAATTGAATTTTAATGAAACAGGTTAGCTTTAATATTATATATAAACCCAATTATTTAATTAATCCGGTAGCAAATTTCAATGGCGATCGTGTGATTAGTGTAATAATTATTAATATTATACAAACCCAGAGATAATTGTCTTAAAATTAATTTTAAGTCTCGACGCAACTTACTATTGAACACCAATTCATATGCAAATACTTTTCAAGTGATGTCAAAGTGTTTGCATTGATGCGATATAGCTTGGTAATTTGATCCTCAATTAGTGGTGAATATGTATTGATGTAATTTGTATCAATCATTGCCATCTCATGCTATTATCTAATGACTGTGCTAGATAACTATCTAGTAAAATGCTTATTTATTCATTTAGGCATAATTAATAAAAATATTTATATATGATTCGTTACATAGTACAAAATATTGATATACCTATTACATAATCATGTAAACAATTATTTTTAATTATTATAAATTCTATGATTAAAATCTTTATAAACTAATTACTGGTTTCATTCCAACGGCTAAACATTTATTGAGTCGACACTGTTTACACATAGTCCTGGTCATTATATTGATATTACATTTGCCATTTGACGGACACTCGTATTGCTATTATTAATTTAAATTACAATTAATTATACATAATATTATGAATTGTAAATATATTTTATTACTTTATTTCGACGGATAGCTCGTCTGAAGAATGTTTGACACGAATCGCAAGAATTTGCTGCAAAATTTCTGCCTGATATTTAAAGTACATTCATAATATTCACAATAACCATTGGATTAATAATTAAAAGCAAGAAAAATTGTAGATTTTATTTTTAAAGTAAATATAACTTACAAAAGTATCTCCACATATTTTGCAAGTTTTATTTCTTGTATAGCGACTCATATTAAATGAATGAAGTAATTATTATTTAATAATAAAATACTGTAATAATATGTCGCATAGTACAAATTAAATAGTTTGTGTTTAAATAATTTGATGTTTATTTCAATTTGTGTTCAAAACACGTTATATAACTATTTTAAACTTTTACTAGTAATACAAATAAAATTATGAAGGACATGTGTTAATATGATTTTAACGTTAATTTAGAGAAAATGTTTACAAAATCTTATTCAATCTTTTATTTGCTTATCAATCATTGAATTACGATTAATTGATAAAATCTTTATTAATTCAGAAAAATGTTCAATATAAATTCACTAATAAATAATGACAAAATAATAAAATATCATTTTTTTACATTTAAAAGTTAAAGTTACTAAATTATTCATTTGATAGTTAATTAAATTTAGTTTAGAATTTTAATTATGAATAAAGTAACAAAAATATTAAACAATATCATAAATCTCCCTGGCTAGTGGTCCAAAATAAGGGATACAATCTTTAAATTCTTCAGCCTTTCCATACCATAATTGCATTTCTTTTAAATTGTTTAAATCAATTAAAGTGTTTAATAATTTCAATAGTTTTGAGTGCGAGTCATATTCCGATTGACATTTCAACAGTAGATAGCGTTGCAGTAAATAAATATAAAGTTGTTGTTCGAGTCTATTATAAATATACGAGTAATTAAAAATTAATTTTTTTAATAAATGAAAATTATTTTACAAAAACATACTTCACATTTTGTTTATGTTTGAGATTTGGATGATTAGGATTGTAAAGTACTATAGCGGTCAACTATATTAAAACAATGTTTAATTACTACCAGGTATTGTTGTACAATGATCTAAAATTATAAAATACCAAATTGAAAATAGTTGAGTCATATTTGCAATCAGGTAGGAACTTTTCTAAAAATAACTTATATGGCTGATAATATGGTAAATTCTGGAATTTGAACATTTCCAATTTGAATGCCATTGATTTTTGGTTGTCCTGTTCATAGAATATTTTATAATAAATTAAAATAAACATTAAATATCATAAACATTTCATTCATATGCTCACCACATGCATCCGAAAATTCTGACCCTCGTCATTATAACCCAGCGATAGTCTCAATATAAGCATTTCAATGCATCCATTCTTCATGAGAGTCCACTGATCATCGGAACAGAAACTCTTGAATCCATTCAAACGTTTGGTAAAACCGATCATATCTTTAATAATGATTTCCATACGGTATTTATACTCGCGAACCATATCTTTAAACGTATGGACTTTGACTACATTTTCACTCAACGGATAGTCCAGAAGTTTCGAGGCGTTCAACAGTTCTGTTATACGGATTGACTCCAATTGGTTCCACGAGTGATAATTGCTGATCACTGGGAATACCGGTGCGATCACTAGCTGAGGATCTGGAGCTGTAACTTCAGTGACACTACTGGTCTCAGACATTACACTACTCTCAATATCTATGATCTGGTTATTGATCTCTTCATCACTAATATTCACTGTATTTTCAATTAAGTCATTCAAGAATCCGCTTAACTCTTCACTTTGAGGGGAAGGTGTGGTCAACCCTTTGATGTTTTTAGGGTTTTCGTAAGCTTTATTAAATTCATCATTTAATTGAATTTTAGATATTTGTAAGTCTTTTGTGATTTGTTGGCTATTTTTATCGCAAATTTTATTGACTAAACTTTTTGTCTGTAATCCTATGAATTCCTATGAGAGAACTCATAATTAACTAGTTAAAAATTTTATTTCATAACTACACTCAATGACTGTTTGTGTCCCGTAGTAAAATTTCGGGAAATTAGGGATAAAAATAGTGACTTGACAAAAACGGTTTATTAATTAATACTTGACTTCGTTTGACACCGCTTTCAACTTTAGATATTATATCGTATTTCTGTTTTAAAGACAAATTATTGCGAGATTTAGTCGACATTTTGGTCGACTTTGTCTTTAACACTGAATTCAAGTCAACGTTTTTTGACTTTTTTAGCATTCGCTACAGTTTTCTAAAAGTAGGGATAAAATCGGTACATATTTTGTACTGTTTTATATACAATTGGTTTCACTAACATAGGGATAAAAATTGTATACTTGATAGAAACGGTTTAGTCATTAGGGATAAAATCGGTCAACTTTTAACATTATTTCCTATGTTAATAGACTTTGGTTTTGAAAATCAAGGGACAAAACCGGTGAAGGGATAGAAATTGTACCGGACACAAACAGTCATTGAGTGTATTACCTTTTTCATTCCGAGTGCAAAACATTTATCAATTCTGCACTTTTTACATAAATGTCTTGTTTTTATATTTATATTGCATTTCCCAATTGATGGACATTCAAACTGCTATTTTTAAAAATA